ACCACTGATATACCTCTCCTCCCATATGGAAGAAAAACATATGTACATATATTTGCTCATATTAAAAATATATGTGCAATGTATGTGATGTTTTAAAATGTGCTAAATACATTTAACTGTGCCATTTTTAAACATTTAAATGCCAATATATTTTCATATATGTCAATATATTTCTACATGTCAATTTGCACATATGTAGGTGAAATATACATAATATTATTGAAAAATATAAGACAATATATTTCCTAGGGATGTGGGTTACTTGCCACTTTTCCCACCATCAATGATCAAAACTAAGCATCTGGGTGCGTCCTGTCAATTTCTGCATTGTTTATACCTCAGTTTCACTATTTTGCTCAAAGACATCCTACTGTGTGGACTTTTATTTTGAAATAAAACTTGTATTTTTACAAACCAGACAAAATCAAGACATTTTAGCATATAAAATATCAAACTCCTACTGTGGATTTTGGAAAGTAGGAGTAATAGCATCATTTGTATGATGTCAGAGTAGGCCTACAATTTGCTTTCATCATAAGAGGATGTATTATTGGCTCATCAATAAACAATTACCTTTTTAAAGTCATAGATTATTTGACTTCTTTTACTCAATCAGGCTGATCAGGATGCATTATGAAGTTACATCTTTTGGAACCTTATATTATAAGGCAATTGTTTAAGTGCATGTACACCTAATATGGAAACACTTGCACATAAATCTGGAGTCGATGACTGAAGATCTGTGAGATATTCTCAGGTTTTAAGTCAACAGCATCCCTGTTCCCCCTGGATATATCGCACTTCAAGACTCTGCAACAACAAGAACTCATGTAGCCTTGAGTACAATCTGCTGCATTCATTTGTGCTTAGAATGATGTGCTTGTATGTGATAATGTAGCTCATTAAAGCCATCTTTTCCTGTGCTGTGCATGTGTGTGTGTGCGCTAGCTGTGCAGAGTGTAGTCTTTGTTCCCCCTGTTTGTGTAGCTCTCATTTGTCAAAGTCCCGCAAACATTTCTGATGTTTGTACTCATGGTGCAGTGGAGGAGAAGAGCCCACGATGGAAATTTGAACAGAGAGCCTTCACCTCTATATCACTCTCACTCTTTCTGTCTGTCTGTTAATCAGTCCCACAATTGAGCGCTGTTGAAACCATCCTTTTGTTGGATTGTGCTTTGCGAGGTGCAAGTCTGGGGCCTCGACTACGGCAGGGGTGACATGAGGCAAACTTGAAAGCTCTGTTCAGACAGCTGGTCAAATCAGCATTTCTTAAATTCAATTTTTAGGGCCTATTTACCCCTTTCATTAACATGTTTTGTGCCTGGATCGAATTTGGACGAAGCTGAACGGGATTCCATTTACCCTTTTCACTAAAATGTGTCAATAGTTTGGCCAGATGAGATCCGATTTAACTTTGGGGATGCATTTTGGTGAAAATGGAACTTGGTAAATTAAAATTTAGATTTTATTAAACTTCAAATAATAAGCTGAAAGATTATATTTTCACTTACTCAGAGAAGTTCAATGACATTAAAGGGCCCATATCGAACACTTTTTCTTCTATTTATCTGTTGCTTTGAGGTTCACTCATAATATTTGTATAGTTTTTATGTAACAAATATTAATTTTTGAATTTTGAACCTTTAAATAGGCCGTTTGTGTTACTGTGTCTTTAAGGCAGATATGTAAATGAACTCTGTTCTAATTGGCTGCCCTGTATTGTATCACATCAAAAAGCTGTCTAGGCTGAAAGACTTATAACTTCAGTATGAATGGGTGAGGCTAAACTGCTGCAGGCTGAGTATGAGGATATATGTAAATGGGTTGTTTTCTGTGACATGAAAAAAACAGCGAATTCAAATCAGCTGTTTTCATATATGGACTTCATAGACTGGGGAGTGAACAGTACATTTTGAAGCTTTAACAGTTTGCATACTACATCTACATGCTACAACTCATTTATCTTAAGTGAGGGGAATTCAGATTTCCATGATATGGGCCCTTTAAAAGTTTAACACAAGCAGGTCACTAACTTTTTAAGTTAAAACACTTTTTACAGTCCAGGCAAAAATATAATCTGATTCTGTATGTGCTTTTTCACTGGCTAAACTGATTGACATGTTCAAAGATGCATTTAAATCTCATTTGAAACCAATGCGAAATACAAATGCAGCTCGAATTGGAAAAATAAGAATTTCAAGTATCCTTTTTGCCTTTCACACTGCAGAAAATCTTTCCTTCTTAAACCGGACATGCCAAAATTGGATTTGAGCTGCCTGTCTGAATAAAGCCTTTGAAATCATCTCTGACCAGCACAATAATATGCGTACGTACAGATTGGACATCAGGATTGTGTTCTAGAAATCACTAATAGGCACTGTCTTGCAGCTGTGCTTAGCTGGGGCAGGGGAAAATGGGGTAGGTGGGGGTGGAGGGGGCTGGTCCACTGACATTTTGGAGATGCTGTGGAGGAGAAAAAGGAGGCATAGAGACACACCTTCAAGCTGTCTTTCAGTGGCAGATGACGACACACTGTGGTTACAATACGGTATTACAGACAAAACATCAACAACTATCTCACTAGGCCTAACTGAAGGGGGTAAAGCCCTGGAGGGCTTTTTTCCAGCACAGTTGGGTGATTTTCCTGCTTCGACATGCCTAATTTAATTCATTAGTTGATTATCAGGTTTAGCAGATGTGTCACATCACTCCCTCTTTAACGTAAAAACTAGACCATCCAAAGAAATGTTACACTTTAATATTTTGAAGGAGAACTGTAACAATTTTCAATCTAAACTGAAACTTTCAATCTGCTGAAACTTCTGTTATGTGTAACATAGCTTTTACAATGCAGCATAAAGTAGGCTGTAGGTATTAGATTTGAATTGTTTTGAAACGGAATAATTACTCAGAAAGTATCTGGAACATTTATTAGTGGAAAAATAAAGTGCACTAAAAAATTTGAACACTAAAAAATGTGATGCACTAATTGCAATTCAAGTGCATACATGATGTTCTCATGAATAAACTGTATTACATCAACACAATTCTGTCTTTCAGTTTACGTAATTTAGGCAGTAATTGTGTTGATGTGATATATTTCATTCATATGGAAATGATGTAAACATTTTTGTTCGCTTAAAGCAAATTTGTAGAAACATCAAATTAAATTCAAAGCATCACATTTTTTTTCAGTGTGTGGAATCTTGTTTCTCTGTTTGTTTTCATGCGTTGGATAAAAGAGATTGTGTGTAGTGCAGTGGTTGCCAGGGGTTCCACAAAGCTCTTGCAGGAACAGCAAGTCCATGCTGAGAATCTGGCCCCCAACCCCTCCACCTCACGCGATGAGAATTCGTTAGCATGCGGTTGCACTGTGTGTGACATGGGCTCCCCTGGGGACCGGCTGCTGCGCACCGCGCTGCTCGCCTCTATTTTTACACCGTGCTCACCGTGCTGGTCGCCGGAGAAAACACAGGGAAGGTGCAAGCTGCCGAGCGATCAAACGCTTTGCTGCCTCATTTGCCAAGGTGCAGAACTGGGGAATAGCTTGAAGTGTGCCTGCTTTTAGAGGAGAATACCAGTGTCTGCTTTGTTTTCCAAACAACTTGTGCTCACAGGTGTACAACAATCCGTCACAATAACGTACAAAACCTATCATGTGTGATTCTTTCAGCAAATTAACTTCATTGTCTACTAGGGAGGCGCTATCAGTTAGACGGCCTATAGTAGGCAATAAGCACTGAAGTGCAGTGCAAGTGATGTGCAAAATGATTGTTATACACAATAATATGATATTGGCATATGTAAATAACATATATAAATGTAATAATAACCGGTATGTCACCATTCTTGTAGTTCTTCTTGTATAATTACATCCATTCCTGTCAGAAAGGGCTGTCCCCACTAAGCACAAAAACTATGTACTCTTTGTTGTGTCCAAAAAAGCTACCACTTGTTGCTTTTTTGGGTGTGCCTAAAACATTAGCCTATTTTTCTCAGTCATAAGCTGTAGCTGTAGTCACAGCTATGCAATAAAGATTTTGTACGTGTGGTCATAGTTTTTGTGCTTGGTAAAGACTGCCTTGAAAATCTCCTGTACTGTTATTGCATCTCAAAAAAAACATAAATGTGCTTCTTTTTGTGCTATCTTTTTCTCTTCTGGCAGTCATTTGATTACTAAAACTAGATATATCTATATCTAATGAAGGCTTTCCAAAATTAAACCTTAAGGAAAAAAATTCAACAAAATTTCCTATAACCACAAAAACAAGCTGTCATTGATACTGTGTATGATTGATACTGCATTAAGACTATATTGTGTTCTGTTTTTTTTTTTTTTGGTACATTTACTGCCCCTTAGTGGAGACGTTTGGTCAGTACTAGGTGAGATCATGGTAGACTGTGCTAGGCCTATCTATCTATAAGCATGAACACTTACAACGAACAAGAGTTAGAGTAAATACTATTGATTACATAAGCATTACCTGTACAGTATATTTCTCAATGTTGTGATACCTTTATGTCTTTATGTGCTTGGCTACATCACCCGGAATGGCAGGCTCAATTATTTTTGTTGCTTTCTTTCATCCCCGCTCTGAAAATCCATTTACGGAAACACAGGTCTAAAAGGTTCCTGCTGCTTAGACAGTGCTCATTAACCACTGCATCATCGTGGTCTGCTGCACGAGCTAAGGTTACAACAGAGAGAAACATACTGAAAAGCTTTTACAAATATGTGCTTCATCCCTCCTGCATCCATTACTGGACCCAAAGCCTTGCCATACAGAGTTTAGTCAGTGGTTTAAACTGGTTTTTAACAATGTATCTACAGTATTTTCATCTATAAGCAAATCTATATGCAAGGGCAGTCATAGTAAGCCACTCACCAGACGGTTATGTGGACCTCTAAGTACTGTGTGGATGATTCAGTGCGATCTCTGTCTACCCCCTCATCGGTGGAAATGCTTAGCAGCTTTGGTCCAGATGGGTGAGTAGGAGAGAGACAAGGTGTTAATGTACCTTCTGTTACTTTTGGGCTAGTTCTAGTGACTTGGTGAATGCAGGCTATTTTTTCCTTTTGCCCTTTCTTCTCCTATCCTTTCCTCTGTATGGCTTGGATTAAAGTGTGACGTATGCTGTGACTTCACTCCATTTCCCTTTCCTCCACTTTCTCTCCATTGCTGCATCCAGCTCAGCCTCAGTCCTATTGGGATGCGCTGGTGGGGGTTCATGATTCAGATTTGGGTGGGGCGGGGTTGGTCTGGTAGCTGCTGCCGTAGCCGCTGATGGAGGTGGAGTTGGTGATGAGCTCCACGGGCGACGTGCTGCCAGGGCCCAGGTATGCCCGGTGGCTGGGCATGGGGGAGGGCGCCTCACTGGGGTTCTTGCCCAGAATGAAGCGTGTCTCGTCCTCCAGGTTGGACGTGTCCTTGGTCAGGCTCTTGCGGTAGGAGACAGACAGCTTGTTGGAGCCATCGGGCAGCCAGTTGAAATGGCGGGCAATGAAGACCAGGGGCAGGGGAAGCATGGCCAGAACTATGAGGGCGAAACACATGGCCAGCGCCCATGGAGGATAGCTCTGGAACCTCTCTGTAGCCTGGGAAAAAAGGATGCAGAGGCATGAAGACCAAAAGCAAGCAAAGTAATAGGATGTGCCAGGGGTACAGATGGAATAATGGAGAAAGAGGGACTGCTGTGGGACAAGCTGGCGTAGAGATGATGGGGCATTCATAGAAGCTCTGGCTGTAAATCTCTAACCTCACAACAACTTGATTGCATAAGGATTCTTTAGGACAGAGGTCTTTAAATCTGGGTTTTTTTTTTATATTTAAAAAGCTATTTATCTGGGCAGGGAGTGTGTTTTGCTCAGAAAACACTACGGGCGTTTTCACACTTTGGCCGTTTCAGTGTCTGAAGAGGATTCAGACCGCTGAGTCATGGTTTTCTGTGCATATGTGAACACGACAAACGAACTCTTGAGGTGGTCTCATTTTGCTTTGCTTTATGGTGAAGACCTCGAGACTTAACATACACACACAGCCACAATCTTCCAGCAGTTCAGCAGGTAAAAACAGACCACCAAGGATCATTTATATGGTTCTACTCAGGATAAAGTCTGTCTGTGATCTGTGACAAGACAGCAACCCTGACATATATATTAAAGGTTCATGCATGCAGCACAGAGTTTTAAGCTGCTTTCACACTGACTTTCACACTGAATTCACCGCTGCTCTTTCAAATACACTGTTTCATTGCAAATGTGGTTTTTCGCCGGGTGGAGCTCAGTGAGGAGCACAGCCGAAAACGGAACCCACCATGGCAGACACGCAGCCAATCAATTCAGCGTGGCCAATAGGAGAGCAACAGGCGTGTTTAGTAGTTCCTCTTGCCACCTGAAAGGTTAGATTTATCAAAGAACACTGCCCACTTTGCGTTCAAGTAGAACTGTCCTCTTTATAGTTCACTTCTGAACACAACAAGGTCATTTGCAGTTGGTTCCCTTTCAGGTTCACCTTAACAGAACTCAGTTTGGTTAATTTAAAAAGAACTGTATGTGAAAACGCCCTAATGTGAGACTGATATTCCACACTTCTCCATGAGGAAGCACAGTATTATTTGTAATTATCTTCCCAAACCTAGTTTCGCTAATGCTTCATTAAATTAATTCCAGTATGCTGGTGATGAAATTGAACAAATCAATACATTGGCTGGAGTGCAGTGAGGAGTTTTCAAGAATCAAACTTGTGTATTTCCAACTAGTTCAAAAGATATTAAATACTTTTCTGAAAACAGGAAATATTTTTTTTTCCCTGTATTAATGTTTGTTTGTGTTTTTTTCTAATGCTATATGGTGTTTTTATCAGCAGAAACACTGTTATTGTGTATTTAAATGATTTTAAACAATCTGCTTGGATGCCTAAGACTTTTGTACAGTAGATGACAGATGAAAAAAAAGTAGATTAAAAACAAACCAAACCAAACCAAAACAAAACACATATTTTAAACTGTGTTCCACTCACCAGATCCTGAACCCAAGCATTGTATCCAGGTGGACTTATGGACATCTCCACAACGGTGGCAGCAATAAGAATAAGAAGACAGACTGGAGACACGTACTTCCAGAGGTAGAAATACAACCTGTATGGTTTAAAACCCAGCATATCCTCCAGATCCTGCATGAATCTGGTAAAAAGAACACAAATAGTTAAAATACAATTGCCATTTTTCATATATTATACCACACAGATGAAGCATCTCAGTTTAGCTTTAAATTTATTTTCATGCACACATAAGTGAACAGAACCTCAGCAATTCTATCCTGAGGCACCTGTAAACAATCTCCACAAACTGAATGTAATGCTAAAAATACACTGCTTACCTCTTGGTGCCATATATCCAGGCCACAGACACATTTTCCAAGACGACTACGATAGTGAGAGGCAGGCCAGCAGAGTAGTCATCAAACATGGTTACGAAGTAGTTTCCTGAGCGCTGGACGAACAACAGGCCGCAGAGAAACGCCACGATACAGCAAGCCACTGAGGACACACAAGGGTCAAAGTTAGGTTAGAGTCTGCTAAAGGTGTCTCACAGTCCAATATCAGTCAAGAGACAGTTAGCCATCACTAAATCTGTTGTACATTTGCCTACACACATCCTACAGCAGTGCAGAAGTAGTCTCCGGAGTGAGACTTTTTGTGTTGAAGGAAAAAGGAAATCTTCCTTTTTATGATGTATCTTGAAGATGGAAGGAACTGGTGGATTTGTGGGGCTGTTTTATATATTTTTTCCACTAGCTGGCACATGCAGAAGGAAGGTAGGGATTAATGTTACCATTAAGATGCCAAATATCTAGTTGCAGCCATATAACTACAGTAACCATCTTCACATCACTTTTACAATGCAGAGAATGGGCTACTCAAGTGACTTGTCAGATGAGGACAACAAGCTAAAGGTTAACATGATAGCAACCTTAATATCTCTGGCTGAAAGGTTAAAAACTGGTTTCTAGCACCTCTGGTGCTAAATAAAGACAAAAATCACTGTGTACTTTATTAAATTTTTTGCTGACCAAGGTAAGAGTCACACTAATACTAGTCTGGTTGTATTTATTAGCCCATAGATCAGTGAATAGACTACGATTGGTTGACACCACAGATATGTATCATAGATGGTGGGCACTGTAGTGGGAGAACATTTATGAAAAAACATGATATAGAAAGTGTGAATTCTGTCAAGCTGATGAGACTGAAGAATGTGAACACTACACAACATGATAACATGTTAAATGGTGGTTTCAGGTTGGACTGCCCCTTTAACTGTTACTATCCAGTAATGTTTCTGTGGTGACATTTAAGAATCCATGTTGCACAAGAGATAACAGAGACACTCTTTGTTATGTTGTTTTAGTATAATGGCAATAAAGATGAATTTAACTGAATGAATTGAGCTCTTGCAATGAAAAACAGTATATGTGACATTTTTTGTAAAAATTATATAAGCATGGCATGGCATTATTTGAAGGGTAATTAAAACATAAATAAAGCATAGTTTGGCTTTTTTTTATGTACCAAGTTGTAAAAAATAAAACAGAAAACAAAAAAAGGATAATCCAAAAAGGGTGGAATGTTTAATGTATGTTGTTTTGGGTTGAGGGGCTCAATTTAAGAGTTATTCATTGAACTTAAAACGTGTACTATATTTTCCATGTAACAGACCAACATAATTTCTTTCTGTTTACTTACTTTGGGCAGTAATATATTTTAGTCATGTGTTAATGATGTAATCAAATAAATTCAAGGTATTCTTTTTCCAGCGTAGACAATGTATGAAATGCCGTTTGAAGGTACAATAATATCTAACAGCATTCTTTTCCTATCTCTGTTTAAGTGTTCAAAGAGCCAGTTTTGTAATCAGTAAATCAGTAAAGCACTCCAAACATGACCGTTCCTCTACAGTACTAATGACTTTCTGTCCAGCCATTACAACACGTGGAAGCTCTCACCGGTGAGGATCTCCTTGCGGATTTTGAAGGTGTCGAGGATGGGCGTGGTGATACCAGTCATGGTGCCGATCATGCTGCCCAGACCGAGGTTAATCAGCATGAAAAAGAACATCACTGACCAGAAAGGGGATGCTGGGAAATGTGTCATGGCCTCTGTGAAAGCGATGAAGGCCAGGCCAGTTCCCTGAACAGCCTGCAAGAGAAATCGGAGGAGAAACCTTTGTAATAGGTCCTTAGATCAACCACAAAAGACTATAGTTTAATGGAACAAGGCCAAAAGAACAATATTTCAAAGGAATGTGTCCCTAATCCTACAGCAAAACACATTTCAGGTAATGTACAGGAGATTTCAGCAGTCTGTCTTTGACTGTACACTAAACTGCTTATTAGACCGAACAGCACTACTGCAGTGGCAGCTCACTTTATTGAGTTCATCCTCCAGCAGACACTGCTCCAGGCCCAGCTGAGAGAAACTGCCTTCTTTTACAATTTTAATCACTTCATACATCTCGGCATAGTCAGAAGAAGTCAGGTGGGAGAAGTTAACGTGAGGAGGGATCAGATCATGACTCAGCACATTTGAGTTCAAAAGGTCCAGTATCTTCTCAGCATTCCTAATAAGGAGAGAACATAGATGCACAAATGCTGAAAAAATGTTCTTAAGAAATGTTACACAAAGAAATTGCATTAGACTCATTTATTATAATTTTCACAATATTAATTATACATACAGTCGTTCGCAAGTTTCAACATCCCTGGTTATATTACTTTTTTTTTTAATGTGAAAGTAAGCTAACACATCCTTTACAAACAACAAATTAGAGCACATTCATCTGCAAATTTTAGTGCACACTTTCTATTTATTTGCTAAGTTTAACATATTGGAAAAAAATTAAACATAGAATATAAAATGTGCCATAACATTTGCACAGACCACTTTTTATGTTTTATTTTTTCCCCCCGATGTATTAAATTCAGCAAATAAACAGCAGTTGTGCACAAATGTTCTTTACAGAGGATTTGTCAACTTATTTTCCCTTATAAAATCCACAAAACATGTAATTTGACCAGGGGCGCCCAAACTTTGGCATATGACTATAAATTGTTGCTGTCGGAACAAAACCTCATATCTCCACAATGACAACTTTACAGGAGAAGGAAATATCATTCTTAACTTGTGATGGATGTTTATGTAAAAGACTTTTTGTCAAGTAATTTTGGAGCATTTCTTGTTAATCAACACAGTGCAAAATGTAATTGGAGTTTCCTAATTAGGCAAAAAAGTAAAAATTGACAAAAATGGAGATGTAGAGTTTGTGCGCGACAGTGACAATATACTGTAATCACCATAATCCTATGACATATACTATTATACAGCCTTTAAAGACTACTTGAGAGAGCCACTTACTCCACTATGCATTTCTCATTCAAGACGTTAGCCTTGAATCCAAGCACAGCAAACACCACCAGTGTGGCTAAAATGGAGGTCAAGAAGTTGATGACGGAGACCAGCACTGCATCAAAATGGCAGTTATTGTCCCTCTTGTTGTAGCTGGAGAAAGCGATGACTCCACCGAAACCCAGGCCCAAAGCGAAGAAAACCTGTGTGGCAGCTTCACGCCACACCTGCGGCTCCAGCATGATCTCCAGCTGCCGGGATATGATACGACAATTTATTTATATTTGTCACTCAGCAAAACTATTGGGTGTCAAATATATATTAGGGCTGATTTACCTCCATTTCTGCTCTCTGACTGAAGTATAACCAGTGCATATGGTCATAATACTTCAAGAAAACGGTGTGACAATTTCCCATCCTTAGTCATCCTTAAAATTAGTTCCCAGTATCTACTTATAGTCCTACTTAATAACTCATTTATCAGGCCTCCCTTAAGTCCCATGCTTCTTTTTGGGCATGCATGAGTAATGAGTAATACATTTGTCGCTGTCTTAATTTGCTTGTAGTTACACTGAGTTCACCACCAGGGGGAGACAAAGGTTAGAGTGGTGCACTGTGGGACTGAGATAAGGAGAAGAGTTCAAGCCTTTGAAATAAGCTTCTTTTCTAGAATGCTGACTCTTAAGTACATTTTGGAGTTTTGCTTGCGTCCCCTTGCCTCACTGCTTAGAGATGTGGAAAAACACCCTGAGTCCTCTCACTAACCTAGTGTGTGTATGTGTTTGTTTTTGTGCATTTTCAGGACAAAAATGTATGAAAACAATGTCAGGATGAGCAAAATGGTTGTGACTTTGTGAAGTGCTTTTCACAAGAGCTACATGTTTCAGTTTTTAACTCTGACTGAAACAAGCATTTTCGTTTTGTTACTGAGGTTAAGGTTGGAGGTAGTATGTAATATTGCACATAGGTAGTTATGTATGAATAATACATGGGACACATGTATGACCTCATGCCCTGCCATCATATAAAAATAAACCTGTTTGCACGTGCATGAGTGCTCACTCTTCTTACCTTAGGGGTGAACATGTGAGCAATGCCGTCCACAGCGCCTTTAAGAAACATTCCACGTACCAGGAAGCAGAAGAGCACCACGTATGGAAACAGGGAGCTGAAGTACATCACCTAAACAAGAGGATGATTTCCCACAATGCACGCAGAGAGGGAGAGAGAGTTTTCTGATCACGCTCACTTTCATGTAGAAAAAGTAATCAGCTCTTTCAGACTAAGAGACTTTCTATTTTACACAAGTAAAGGTCCTACCTACACTTCCTTTGCATGACACCATTGAACAACTTCTGGGTCCCTAAAGAACCTTTCAATTAAAGGATCTTGTACAAGAGAAGTGGGAGAGTGAAGAGCCTTTTTAAAGTTTAAAGATACTCTACATAACGTAAAGGTTCTAGGAAGAACCCTTGAATTGGTAAAGCTCTTTAAGCCTTTAAAAGGTTCTTCACATTCATAAATCCATTTGTGGCACCTTCATATTTAGGAGTTTACTACCAAAGATCCAGCCAATGATGGCGCACAGGTTAATCAAAGAATTCACAAGCATTTATAATCTTCAGGTAAGTTTCACAAAGTACAAAAGTAGGGATGCACAATTAGAACGTGCCAAACAGGACTTTTTTTGGCCAGTTCATTATTTTGATTTTGGGTGATTTTTATGACAAATTTTATAATGCAAATAATGTGCAGGAGTAAGTGCTATATTTAAATATGCTGCTAAACTTATACCAAAATGTCATAATTATGCATGACTCATGCATGACTCTGCTAAACACCCAGCTTTTTCTTATTTTCAATGTAACACTTGATTTGATTCACCTTTTTTAAACAAGCAACTGATTTTTCATTTAAGATTTTAAAATGCAAATATTGTTTTTTATATTGCAACTTTGGCTAACAGAAGATTCTGGAAATGTGCTAGTGTGTTCTATGTATTCATTTAGCCCACACAGTGTGAGCTTTGGGTTAAAAAGGCTAATAAAAATCTGACAAAAAAATCAGCCATCAGCCAATAAGACTGTAAAGAAATCAGAATCACACATTATAATTGTATCACTATACAATAAATAGATACAAACAAGTGTGCTTCAATACATCCCTCAGGGGGGGCATTTAGGTGCTGCAATAGTGCAAACACTGACAATATGTACTTATAATAAACAGACCTGCTAATTTATCAGAAACAACTATCATACAGGTGCACAAGTTCACAGTCTGTTCCTGGTTGCAGTAGCAGGAACTATCTGCTTGTCTGTCCGTCAGTGGAAAGGGGCTATCATAGGACCACTACAGACCACATATTATTTGCAAAGTAAATAATCTCTTTACTCAGGAGTGGCACCAACATGGTACAGTGTTTGCTGCTCGTACAAGTAAATCAGGAACTGCAGTGTTGCTGAGTTTTTACACATCTCACTGTCACTGTTGGGTTGAGAATAGTCTGCCAACCTAAAATATGCATCCAACAGTGGTTCACTGATGGGCTACTTGATGCCTATTATGTATGAAAAAAGAAAGACAGTATGTAATTGTACACCTACAAGGTGTACCAACAAGGTAGTTGTTTGTGGCCAGCAAATGTAACTACTCATATTGTGCATATTTACATATACAAAATGATAAAAACATGGATATGGAAAAAACAGAAGCATTTGCATTTTGTGGTATGCATGTAAAACAGTTACCCAGGTGAAGAACAAATCAAAATGAAAAAAACAAATGTTTGAAACTGTATTTGCAGTTCATTGTACTAAAGATTGCACTGACCTTGCCAGATGACTGAATGCCCTTGATGACCGCCAGACAGACGATGATCCAGGCTGCCAGCAAAGACAGAGTCATCCTCCAGTTCAGCCCTCCGCTGTCAGCGATAGTGCTGGTGATGTTCAGTGTTTCACGGTACCAGAAGTACGTAGTTGCGGAGCTCTTTTCACACTCCGGCTCCACGACTGCTCAGGTAGAAAAGACAAGACAAAGTATACAACTCTGCTGCATCACTCATATAGGTTCAGCTCATATGACAAGCAATTATATTCGTGGCATCATGTAGCCTACAATTCTGATGTGATCAAATTACGGATATTTTGTTTCATATTTACTGCAGTATTAAAATATCACTGCAAATCTTGTAATCAGTTATAATAACTGTTAACTCCCAGTAGTCACAGTTAGCACCAGTAATAGTGAAAGCATGTAGCAATCCAACATGAATTATTTCTCACTTGTAGCTTATGGAATTCTGTTAAAAGTGCAGATTCTAAATGTTTAATCCATCCATGTAATGCATTGTAATAATTACTAAAAATATTCAAGTACAATAAAGGAATAACTATCGACTTCTAAGGGTTCATCTGTAGTCTATATATTGTCATGTTTGCATTAACATTACATGACAACCAAAAGAAATTTTGTAAAGCAAACATTTAAGTGGAATTTCTTTTGTTGACAGATATTAAGAACACTTTTTCTTTTCCGTATAAAGTCACTCTTTCAGAGATACAAGGTTTCGTCTCAGCCATATCTGCCAGTTTCTCAGTGCTCAATGCTCAATGCTCTTTTAGACGATTCTGCTGCCACATCCTCAGCTGGAGCGGCAGAGAGCAGATGTGACTGCAGGGCTTACGCTCTGTCTGCACCAGTGTGAACTCCAGTCAGTCACACTGTGGACACTGGCCACAGGGCATGCTGGGAACTCTCACACAAAAGACAGCTGACAGTTACGCCCACCAGCAAAGCTGCTGGTAGGAGTAAAACAGGGCTCAGTCCAAACATACAGTTTCAGTGGCACCAGATGGTTTCTGTATGGTAATGTACAGTAGCATTAAAAGGTTGGATTACATACTGATACTTTCAGTCATATGCCAAAGCTTAAACACCTCTGGGTCAGATTACATGTTTTGTTGAAGCAAAAACAGGACAATAACAATAAAGTAACGTATCCTCTACAGGGAAAAATCTAAATATGACATTTTTCTGCATGGTCCCTATATATTTGCTGAGTTTAACTAAGTAATCAGTTACAATCACTGTTAAAATATAAAATGTGCCATAACTTTTGCATAGACCACATTTTATGTTTTATTTTTTCTCCAATATGTTAAACTGTAAGCGTGTTCTGTGCATTAAACTATGCAGAAGTGTGTAAAGAACATGTTAACTTATTTTCACTTAGACAATCAACAAAAACGTCATTTTGCAAACGACTGTTTATAGACATACTTTATTCTAAAACAACTCTGAATATGTAGATTATCATATAAAATCAACACTAAAATGTATATTTAGATACTTTATTCGATGCTTTAAGGTTTCTGGAAACAAAAAGAAATTAGCCTGCTATAACCATTCATTTACACTAATTATTATTTGCAGTATTTTTCAGCAAATTATCTTCCTTCAGATTTGACCATCCCTTTTCAAATATGAGGGATCCTGGCTACTGTTTTCAATGTAATATTATTACACAGCTTTCAACCATTTAAAAAAAAATGATATATATTTTGCAAAAACTGATTTTATAATTTTAAATCCAAACTTGTGGAACTGTAACAGATATTCACTGGTTTTATTTGTTGTTACATGAAGAGTACACAATTACAAGGTATATTATCTGAGGCACGTCAGCTTCATCGGGCTGCTCTCAAATCATGGAAAATCACGACATTGCAAGCTGTAGTTTATTTAGCGCACTACAGAAGCAAACCATCCAGGTCAGCTATTTATATCTGAGAGAAGAAGCCGCTGAAGAGTTTGTCGGTGTTGGTATTGCAGCAGACTCACTGGCTTGGCTTCCATTCCTTCGGATGGGGCACTCGCTCCAGGGCAGAGGATACTGGAACGACTGGAAGAAGTAGAAGATGCTCCAGCCTATGATCACGTTATAGTAGAGACCCACAAAGCCACACACCTTTAGCAGAGAGACAGAGAGAGAGAGAGAGAGAGAGAGAGAGAGAGAGAGAGAGGGAGAGGGAGAGGTAAAGAGAATGAAAAAGATAGAGATGACAAAAACATTTTTTATCATTAGCAGAACCAAGACTAAAAGCAGCATTTTCTCTAAACCTCAGCTCTATTACTCCTTAAAGAATCAACCCTATTTAACATATTGCCTGTGAAACAGAGAAGTTGCACCGTGTGCCCATCCATGTTTGGCATAATAAAACAGTAAAACTGCTTATTGTTGAGTAACAACAAAAAACTGAAATGTGAAGTATTTTCCCATGCATTTGCTTTCTTGCTCAAAATGGAAGTTTGCAACACAAGCAAGATAAAATCTACAAATATTAAAAAAATTCACAATATTTAACACTAAAACACTGCATTCATCGTTTAATCCTTAAATATTTTCTGTAATAACATAGCAAATCACTGTGAGGTTGACCTTGAGCTGTACTGCACAGCATTATGGGATATGACAGCAAGTAAAGGTTAAAAATGTGTGAACATTTAAAATGTCTTTATTCTGGTTGTGTTGTTATAAAAACATTTAAAATTTTACAGTGGATTTATTATTATTATTTAAATGCTGAAACACTGTTGACATGTTAAAATATCTTTTACATGTGTATTTACATTTTAAAAATGAGTATTTGAGATATTCCTTTAACATACAGTGCAAAACATGGTGAACACATGTTCATCGATACTGTTTTTTTTTTTAAAGAACATATTTATAGATCTGGCAAAATTAAAAGTCATTGATTCGTGTGTAGATTTACAGTAAATTATTGGCTACTAATTTGAATGACTTTTACAGCTGTTATGTAAAAATAGAGGAGATTAAGATATTTAATTACAATGTATTACTGTAAGTGTACAGAAAAATACAGCTACATCACAGTAATCTTGTGGTTCAGGTGACTGTAAAGTCACAGTTTACAGCTGTTATTTTACTGTTAGTATGGTAAGGTAAATTACTGTTGTAATAATGCAACCAGTAGCTAATAATTTACTGTAATTTTAAACAGATTTTTTGAATAGAACAATGACAACTCTCTGAGTGTGCCTGGCTCTTTCCCTGTGTTGAAGCCATGTGCTTTTAGGCCATATGGTTTTGTTTTTGTTTTAGTTCCTTTGCTCTGCCCTTTTCCCCACCTCCCTTATTAGGATTCCCACCTGGTTGTAGTTCCTGTCTCCTCCCTCTCCCAGGTGCTCCCTATTGTCTCTAGCTATTTCTACCCCTTTGTTTCAGTCCTTGGTTGTCTAGTCTATGTTGTTACATGTGGTGGTTACATGTTTGCCCTGTATTTGGTTTGTTCTATGTGTTTCTTGGTTAAAAGTATTGTAGTTTGTTATTTGGTGTCATTCTCAGAGTTTGTCCTACATCCAGTCTCATCATTCTTCACACATGACAATGATGGAGAACTTACTCAAAGAACCTTTTAAAAATGGTTCTATATATGTCAAAAAGGCTTCCTGTATTGTTACAAGTCAAAGAACCCTATTTCTAAGAGTGTAGATCATGCTCTTTACATGTCATAATAAGTGACAACAGCACTGAGAAATGTTAAGAGACAAGAGCAGATTAAAAGGCAGAAAGGCACTTTTTGCATCGACATTAAGGAATTAATGACTTATTTGTCAGTATTTTTATATTTGCTTAGTTAAGCACCATTTTGTTTTCCACATGTTTGTGTATACATCTGTATTTCTCAGTGTCTCCAGGCTTAACGTGCAAATGGCTCCTGGCTATGTCACAGGTCTACAGTCAGAGGAATCAATGAATTATTAAAAGACATTCTCTCCCTGGCCTGGGCCACATTCTCTTTGTGGGTATTAATAGCAGCTCTCGTCACCGCAGACCCACTTCCAGATTTCTTACTCTTAAATACTGATGGGGCCCTCAAATGAGAACCGTCCTTCTTTGTTAAATTAGCCTCTTTTTGGGTCAAGACGGTTGTGATGGAAGATTAGTCATTGTTCTTCTGTAGAACATGACCAGGATAAGACTCAGCAGCAGCAGCTTCATTTACTTTTGTCTAGAGCTCTTGATGGAGCACTAAAGGTGCTTTTAGGTGCATTTGGTGTGGACCAATCAAACCTTTTCTTTATTTGGGTCTGCACAAAAAAAAAAAAAAATCAGTGCCATGCTCCAGTAAGAATCTCTAGCTTTCAAGTCATTCCACTTGGCTCTGTTCGCTGCTGGTGGGAATGTATTTGTACAATTTTCTGCACCAAACAGGGGAGGAATTCAACACCAGAGCATACTTTTCTCATTGCATTTGATTTTGGCACATGGGCTGACGAAAGTATTTTTATAGGTTGGGTTGGACGTCGGTGATCTGATTGGCTGAATTCAACTGATGCATAATTAAACTAATCGATCATAAAGAAGCAGAAATCAATTGTGTTTTTACTCCCTTACTCTGATTGCCATATATGTAGACATTAAGCATCTTTATTTTCATGCAACATAAGAGATATGATAATACATTCTGTCATATATAAGAGAGGGACAGATCTAGATTTTATACCATGATAGGATAGTGAAAGTAGAGAAGAAAATAGGTCATTTAATGGTGGCAAAATGTAACAGTAACAGTAGAGTGCTGAATTTCTGATCAATAAAAGAACATCTATGTGTATAATTTGGTGCACTTTAACCACTGTAGTGTGAAACCAACCAAACCACATGAAAAATGGCACAAAAACCCAAACTCTGGTGTGGACTTTCACAAACAAACAAGGTGTTGCTCCTGGATAGATTTTGGAGATGTTCGCTGATCACTGGTGAGGATACAATTTTGGCTACAGAGTGAGTCAGCAGTATGGTGGAAGAAGGATTAGCATTGTCGGCCTGGGTGACTCATCAAAAATGTATGGTTCCTTCACATCATTTAACTTGCCACGTCAACTTCTATTCTGAGTCCTTGAGACTACAATTAAGCAGAAATCAGTCACTGCTGTGCAGCCAGTTGTGCTGCCGTTCAGTTGCACTAGATGAACACGTCAAAGAGATAAAGTTAGGCTGAATGAAATAGGTTGGAACAGTTTCTCTACACTGACCCCTTTCCAGAATCACATTAATGTCCAGACTAGCATCTCCAACCACATCAGTCACTCGGTCTGGGCTGACATCAGACAGGCACTGACAGAACATGCAGTCTGTATGATAATGTGCTGAATAAATTAGCCTGGGAAGACTCAGTGTAGCTTCTGCTTTAGCTGCTGCTCTAGGGGCTTGTCCCACCTACCCTTGTGCTCTTCAAATCCAGATACACTACAGACATAGAGGACTACTTGCAGAAATGTGAGCATACAAAACCAAAAAAGCCAATCCATGTCAACGATCATTGCTGAAGAACATTGAGGAACTTCATCAGATTCATATTTATGCTCATATCTATACTTTTATTTCCTTTATCATTTATCCATTCACTCACCATTAAGCTGGACACGCCGATGCCACCCAGTCGAGGATAAACGTAGTTCCAGACCCCAATACTCCCTCTGCGGATCCTCTGACCCACGGCCAGCTCCAGGAAAAAGAGTGGGATGCCAATGAGGAGAAGCAGGATGAAGTATGGGACAAGGTATGCACCTGAAGAAAAGATAACAGCATTTATGGACACAAAGTGAGATAACCCTAGTGAGAGTTGCCTTAAATCAATAGGCTAAGATGCTATCTCTTACACGAACATAGGCCAGTTTTAGCACAACATTGCCCTATATATACCATGTACATGTGCATCCAAATTATAAACTACTGACTGCCAGAGCTGGGCTCTTCAAGGGAAATCCACCAATTTTTCTACATTCAATCTTGTACACAAAAAAAAGATGTGCAAAGCCATTCAGGATGGTTCAATATGAAATAGTGCATTGTACACAAACGAGAAATGTACAGACTTGGATTCCTTTACAGTGACAGGAATCATATATATATGTTATATATATATATATATATATATATATATATATATATATATATATATATATATGAAACTTTTTTTACTATTTACTATCCAAAACAATGTGTCTTTTGAGTTTTTATACGTAATGTTGATAATGACAAAATAGAGGTAAACCTGAAAAATATGTTTTCTTCGGGGTCTATTTTGCATTACAACACTCTGCAGCCACCTCTCCATCCTGAAAAAATGACAATTTAGGCCAAAACTATGCTTCAAAACTACTGTAAAACAACGTCTCAGGCATCAAGTAGCATATTCATAACCATTTCATGTTTCATGCTTCTTTCTGTGAGGTAGGTATTAGAAACATTACATGATTTGGACGCCTATCACCACCACTGAGACTAAGACCACTCTGACTCGGTAAGTTCCTCTAGAATGGAGCACCAATATACTCTAATTGACTTCATTTCTACTTATGCAGAAATTAAAAATCTCATGGGCTAACATCATGTTTAACTGTTATACCAATATGTCTAAAGCTGACAGTATATTTCAACAAAAGAACTAAATGAAACTGAAGTACTGCTGGACATGCTGCAAAAGCATACTTAAAAAGAACTATGTACATCTCAGCAATCCTGCTTTGTGCAGTGGACCAGCAACTGTCACTTGAAGGTCTCAAAATGAATGAGGCAGTGATTAAAAGGAAACAAGGCCCACTGGGATGACAACAATCAACTTAAGCAACTTAACAAGTACTTACCAATTTAACATGGTTTGAGGGAAGTGTGTAATGACTTATAAATGCAGGTTGCATAAGCTTCCACTACTCGTTAACTACATTAGCTTCGTAGCTCTAGTATAAAATTAAAGGAGCAAATTTTGGACTGACCAGCTACATTTGAGGTAAAATTTGATTTTTCAAAAGACCATAATTTCCATAATCTCACATTTATCCCTCTTCATCATTAAAACAAGGCAAGTTCATGTCTTTAAGTAATTGCCCTATATTGATTTTTCATTGAACGTACCTTGCTGAATCATCTAATGACAACCCATGGTCCAGTAAGCATGAGTGAGCAGACAGAAGCCTAACAAGACACAATGGAATGGTAAATCATGATGCAGAGGCTTGACGTCAAGCAGCTCCATGGTGACGGAGATTTCATCCTGAGATGACTGACTACACCTTGATCCTCCTTTTCACGAGCCTCTGTTTGAAGTCAAAGAGCACTCTCAAAATAACAGCTCAGTAGACCGGGGCTTATGTTACGCCAACCACTATTCTAGTTTTCCATGAGCTTATGAATGTAATTAGAGCCGGAGCTGATCACAGTACACTGCTCTTTGATGGGCTTTGATAAAAAAAAAAAAGCTTACTGCTATCAGTTTGATTGTGACACTTTCTTGCTGCGACACGCACTGCTCAACTGGGGCTTTTTGTCTGGGAGTTATTTATGCTGGCCGGTAATGAAAGGAAAATTGCAGGTCTTTCTTAGAACAGAGGACACAGGAAGAAGAGACTAGGGAAGGATGGAGAGAGAAAGGGAGAGAGAGAGAGAGAGAGAGAGAGAGAGAGAGAGAGAGAGAGAGAGAGAGGTAGTAGCGAGGGATGGAGGGTAAAGGAAACAAGGCCCACTGGGATGACAAAGGGAAGATAGAACTCCATGACTACCAGACAAGCTGAGGCTTGAGATAACAACCTGCATAAGGTGCTATGTTTTACTCACAGGCACACCAGCACTCACACCTAAACATACACCAGGCTGGCAGTTCATTACACAAACCGTGTAGTTTCCAAACTTTATCAATTACGCAGTCAAGTTCATTAAACACTTTTAACCCTTCACTGTGTGGTGTTGCCATATGGCAACAACTCTGTTCTTGAATTTTTTTGAAAACACAGAGGCTTTTTTTCAGGTTCTTGTCACAACTTGATTGGAAAAAGTTTTTTTTTTCATAAATAAAATCAAATCAGATCTAGAACAGTTTTATATAATGATAAAATATAATTGTTGCCATATGGCAACAGCAGTGCAACCTACAATACACAGTGCAGTAAATTAATGCACTGCTTTTGGACACTGCCATTTCTACACCTTTTCTACATTCCAAGTTGATGAATTATTTTCATACTTCTCTGTACGAACATTAACGCACACATGGTTGCTCACATCTTCTTCCACTGTGTGCATTGCAAACTGCAGTTCCATTTTCACATGCTGTTGCCATATGACAACAAAACGTAGAGCAACCCCTCCCCAATTTGGATTCTTTTTTTTGTACCCTCAAAGTTATTTTAAGTAAATGTTATACCTGATCATTTAAACAGTGTGTCAACTATTATCTTAATGATATGACAAACATTTTTTTGGGATTTGGAGTCATGTCAGCACAAGTTTTCCTAGCTGCTCTTACATGTTCCAGAATCCAATTTCTGCTCTCAAATGAAAAAAAAAATCTCATAACTACACAAATTCTAATAAAGGTAGTGTGCAGGTAAATTTTTCTTTCTTCAAGGTGCAAACAGTGTAAATGTACCCTCGAAGGGACAACAGTGGTTTTAAGGTTCAACTGTGTACCTTAAATAAGTTTGTCCCTGTGTAAAAATACATATTTGTAGCTTTTCATAACCTAATGTTTTAAAACAGAACAGTAAAATAATGGGAGATGAGATGTGTGAAGTTAATACAGCTTAGAAAATATGATTTCAGTGGATTATGGTACAATTATGCTCACTGACTAAAGGTACTGAGATGTACTCCTGAAGGTACCATCCCAATGACAACATGGCTACTGCCCCAGTGATGGTTTCATACCTTTTTTCTGACAGTGTATTACAAAACCTATTATTGAATTATCTGAATGCTGCTGTAAGATTACAATCTTTCTGTACATATTACAGTTGACAATGTTTGCACTAGTTCCTTCACCACTCACATGCTGCTTTAATGCCAATCCACACATACATATATGTTTGTATGCAGTTGAATGAGGCCCAGTCTTATATACTGTTTTGATGTCAAATCTAGTCTTTATTGCTTTTGTATATTTATTGTCTGGTATATTTATAGTATATCCTGCACTCGTTTCACACTGTCACGTATCTGCACTCTGTGTAGTCCTGACTAATGCACTGCTGTTGTGTGTTGCAGCATTGAGGCCTGAAGAATGACATTTGATTTCATTTTATACCAATATATACAAGTTATATTCAGGTATGACAATAAAGACCCCTTGACTCGACTTGACTATTAGGTACATCTATATTGCATCTAAACTTATTTGCCTTTTATCAATATCACCAAACATGTAGGTGCACTTTGTAAGTTTACAGTTACTGACTGTAGCCCTACTGTTGCTGCACAATTTATGAGCCATCAGTGGAAAGGGACTACCACAGGACCACTGCTGACCACTCCAGACATTATTTGCATGGTGGACCATCCTCAGCACTGCAGAGAAATATAATATGGTAGTGGCATGGTAGTGTGTGTGTGGTGCTGGTACAAGCGTATTGGGAACATAAATAATTCATATATATGCATACATACATATATATACTGTACTGTTGTCTGCTCAGACGACTACGTATTCCTTTTGCATCATGCTTAACGAAGTATCAGAATTTGGTGCAAGTCCACTGACACATCATGTTTAGTATCAGCAACACAGTGGCAGTGTGATGATGTGGGGAGTGTTCTTCTGGCATGCACTGAAGCCCTGATACTCACTGAAGAACATCTGAATCACCACATATGTGAAAATCGTTGCTGACCATGTTCATCCTTCCATGGTTACAGCTTATCCACACTCAGATGGACACTTCTACAATGATAAGGCATCAAGTCACAAGGCGGTTTGTAGCAAGACTGTGCACATATCCATTCTGCAGCAACTGAACAATGCAGTCACTTCCGCATGATACAACATTCCTGCACAATGTATCCAGAATCTTGTAAAATCTCTACCCAGGCAAATGCTGTATTCAGGCCAAAGTAGGCACAACAGTCTACTAGAAATGTGTACCTAATAAACTCAATGTATAAGCTAACTTTGAAAAAAATATTGTGGGAAATGGAATGTTCCTCTCTTTCTTGAAATAAAAGAGTTTCATGTAGTATGTAAAAGTTTCAAAATGTACTGTTCACTCCCTAGTCCACAGGGCTGCAACTAGGATCAAAATATTTTGTGAGTTTGGCAAAAGTGACCTACATCACGCAGTGACCATACTAATTGCTGAATATGTGTATGACACCAACTGTCAGTTTCTCCTTTATTTTTTTAAACCATATCATTGCTCCTTTTTACCTGTCCATAACTTTTATGTATGTTTCCCTTTCATTTATTCCTTTCCCATCCCTCCAGTCTTTCATAAACTGCTATTCCTGTTCCATAAACTCCAGCTACCCTGTTGATTTTTTTTTACTTAATAATTTAACTCTTTATTTACCCATTTATTTACAGCTAAAAATACATACTAAAACCTGTATATACTAAATCAGTTATATTGATTTTATTTAATTTAACTCTGTTAGTTCTTTGTTGCCTTCTGCCCAATGAGCGCTGGGATAGGCTACAGCACCTGGCCCAAGTGGCTTAGAAAATGTGTGTGTGTTTGTTTCTGTGGTTGTCTCTTTTGCTCTTTTCTTTCTCTGTCCTCACAGATTACTGAAAAAGAATATATTAAAAACGCTTTATAAAAGTCTGTCCAATCATAATACAGCCAAATGCACCTGCTGAGTTCTGAATTACATTATATGATACTGTGCTACCAACATGCTAGTTAACAGTAAGTTCTCATGCCAGAGTTATTTATGTCATGAGTAGGTAAAACAATACAACTTTGAACTACCATTAATTTTTCATTAATTGCTAATATTGCCCACTACAGAGCCTGTAGCCTAAACTGAGCAGCTACTGGAACTAGAGTAAAGCATGCTATTTAGCTAGTAATGTTACAAGTGCTCCAAATAATAAATGAGTTATAGGGTTTGCATTTTACAATCATAATTTGTTAATTATCATCACACACTCTCACATTTTATCATAGCAATGTTGTATGTTAGTCTAAAGTATGTGTGCTGCATACTTGTAACGTTTCATCTGAAGAAGTCAAAATTGCTCTAGGTAGTTTCACTGCAACAATATTTCCACACTGAATCTCATAAAAACTTTCAGAAACTACAGAGGACGGGTGCTAAAACAAATCGAAGGCTAGAAGCAATTGCAGAGAGCTAAGCAGTGATTGAAAGGCTGAGAAAATAAGGTGGAGCATGGCTTAGAGTGCAATGATTTGATTGGCCATAACACAGCAAAAGCACTCACACAAAACAAACATAAACGCATCAGAGTACGCTACTGTATTATCAGAACAGCGCTGTTTCACATTAAAAATCATTAATAGAAATATGTGAAAAAAAAAAACTTCTGAAACTCGTGTGAAACTTCTGGACCTCATGTGCTCAAAGCTAGTTATGGCTGACCTAGGCCACACAGTCCATCTATGGAAACTAGGCTTCAGAAACAGCTCATTTTGAATTCACTATTTCTGTGATGCCATAAAAAGCAACACATTTACATATATCCACCTATTCAGCCTACAACAGATTAGCCCTGCCAATTCACACTGAAGTTATAAGGATTGTTTCAGCCTGCACTGCTTTTTCGAATGAGACACAATACAGTACAGCCAGTCAGAATATCACACAGAAGAAGAATGTGTTCCCCTTTCAAGTCTTGGTTCTTCTCAAGGTTTCTTCCTCTTGCTCCTAGGCAGTTTTTCGTTGCCACTGTTGACCTTGGCTTGCTCACTGGGGCTTGGACCTGGATTGTCTGTAAAGCTGCTTTGTGATAACGTCTATTGTAAAAAGAACTATATAAATAAACTTTCACTTGACTCAATTCACATATATCAGTCTTAAAGGCACAGAAAAGGGTAGAAAATGGTCATGTAAAATAAATTCTGACTGTTTGTGGTATGTAAGTGGACCTCAGGGAAAAAAATAAAACACAAGTTAAAGGTAGAAAATGGCCCCTTTAACCTTTACAAGTGTATTAAAGATCTATCAGCTGTTCCTGAATGCTCTGTGCAAAGTGCAGGAATTCCTAATGCTAGAGGCACTAATACTAGAATAAAAACCGAATTTCAGTGGAGAATCCACTAGGATTAATCAATAACTAAACTAAAACCAACTATGACTAAAACTAACAAAATTTCATTTGATGTATCTTCTACAGAGGACTAACAAAACTTGTCGCTAATCATTAGATATGGCTATACAGAAATGCAACAAAATCAGTATCTGGACAGAATCTCAATATTGAATTTAGCTTTTACACCTGAGTGAATCTGCAAGCTGAGGTGGAACAACAATCCTGGACCCTTGATTTTAGAAAGCTTCATGATGAAGCTAATAATGAAGCATCAGTGCAAGCTGAATTCAGTCTCTATGTTAATCACCATGCCTCCTTACAAAGACAAAAAATGGAAATACTTCTGTCTCATTTAATGTACTTGTCAGGCCTTTGTCCTGATGTCTCCATACAACAATGTAACAGCAATACAGCACATACAACACTACTAAAACAGCTTTCCTTTAAGAATTCACAATGCATAGTTAGACCAAGCAACCACAGTGATGGCAGCTATAATTGGGAAAGTAAGATTAAATCATGCCCCCGTGGCCTTGACTAGCCTGTTTATAAAGTGCCTTTAGCTTCAGCAGCTGTAAATAACTACACTAAACTGTCAGCTCAGAAAATTCAGCACACAAGGACTACAAAACTCCAAGACCAAAATAGGCTTTCTGTAAAGTGCTATGTAAAGGTTAATTTAGTGATTAATGAATCATATTCTGTAAGAAATAAGTCTGATGCCAGATTTCTTTAGCGCAATGGGGGGCGATCACAATACTTAAAATTTTCTTGATACAAAATATACATAACAATATTTAGCTTTTTTGAGGTTTGATAAATTGGAATAGACAGAAAAGTCTCAGTAATGCTATATAGAATACTATCAACAACTATAAATATAATGATATTTATTCAGCATTTTCACATACTGTGCTACACTAAATCCTGCTCTGTTTGCAGTGAAGTATGCAGCTGGTCATTATTCCTTAAACACTGATGATATCTGTGATATACGCATATATACACATTTGAATCAAGTAAATTAATAGCGACATTTTTTTTCAGTTTGCCCACCCCTACTTGTTATGTTTACTCAATAATCTTATTAGAAAGTTCCCACAAATATTAGCAAACACTTCTGCCAGAAAGAGTTCTTTGGGTGATATCACAAAAGAACCACTTCTGGTACCCTAACAAACCTTTCAGTTGATGGTTATTGAAAGAACCATGTCTGTAAATGAGATGTGTGAGTATTAAGAACCTTTTTGAACTACACATAATCTAGAGGTTATATACCAGTTAAATGTTTTCCATGTATGCCAACAATCATTTAGGAACATTTATTTTCAAAAGTTTAGAAAAAATTAAGGATTCCTTTTCTTTTGCTTCATCTGGCATTGTAATGACCTACAAGGTCACACACAGACTGAAATCACAAAAATCAACTGAGACCATTAACACCTTACCTCCTCCATTCTTCTGGCACAAGTAGGGAAAGCGCCAAACGTTGCCCAGACCCACTGAGAAGCCCACCTGGGCCAGGATGTACTCCAGCTTGCTGTTCCAGGCTGGTCGTCCGTCTTCCAGATCAGGGGAGATGTCTGGCTGCTTGCCTATCGGTGGTGGTCCTCCTCCGGCCATGTTCATGCTCATCTGACTGCTCTTGTAGTCCATGGGGGCCTCCAAGGCCAGCAGATCCGCCACAGACTCTGTGACATGCTCATTGCTGTGCTCGCGCTGGGTCACTTTACTGCTTTTGGGCATGGTTGTGCTGCACTTGTGTCGGCCACAACAGGTGTAGGTAAGAAACGAGAGTGGAACAAGATGGTGGACACGCTAGCCACCACTCTAGATGTGCGCTAGATGTGCGGCTGAAGAAGAGCTTGTGCTGTACAGGAACAGAGAAAGAATGGGAGAGATTAGGCATGACAAGAATAAGACACTACATTAAAAGCCTGAATTCAGTAAGCTGAAACTCAACACACCCCGACCATATGTGATAAGCGCGCCACCATGATTGATGCAGCTGTCACGGCACAAATTGTAGGCCTCTAGCAAAGAAATATTTCCCATTAGTCTGACATAAGAATAATGTGGTACCCATGTTTCTTTTTTGGCCCATGTTTAAAAAGCTTATCTACAAAAGAAAGATAACAGTAGTCAATAGAATTAATTTGCTGAGGAAGTCGTACACGTGCTTCTCTAGCTTTGCCTTGCACTGCAGCTGTTAGTTCTAAAAGCTGAGTCTTATGGCCAGCACTGACTAGGCAATTATGTCTCTGAAAGGGGAGAGGGATTTGTTTGAATCATTCAGACCCAAATTCACTATGGTAACATTCCGCTCGTGCTAAATTCAGGGGGAGCTTTTAGAAAATCCGCAAATTCCAGAGGATGATGATCAGTGGCTCCTTCCAGCAAGGAGCTGGTTGATCCCTTCTCTAGTGGAGGAAGTCTGGGCAGGCCACTGGCTAAGAGGCAGCCATTCTCCCTACTGACCTACTGAACTACCTTTACAAAGAGCAAAAGGTGAACTGCATTTGTAAACACACTCTTAAAAATAAAGGTGCCATGAAAGCCTCTTTGAAGCGATGCCACAGAGGAACCACTTTTGGGTCCCTAAAGAACTTTTCAATGAATGGTTCTATAAAAAAATAAATTGGTTAATTACAGTATTTCTTGATGAAACTGCTCAATTGAGTAACATATCCTGACGAGTCCAAGAAGAGGGCCAGTAAGCACTGTAAAACATGCAATGCTCTTTTATTGGCAGATACATGCTAGGTGATACAATATAGGTTTGGCACCCTGCTGGCCAGAGAACTGCCAGCCTTCATGTGAACGAAAAAACTAACGTGTACCAACCAAACTCGTTGGCTGGCTCACATCACACATACAACATTGTGGTGCATAATGTCAGTGCATAACACGGCTGATTACACCATAACAGAAGCTTCCAACAAGGCGAGGCTATGCAAATGAGCTGGTAAACTACATAGGGGTCAAATTCACAACAATATTATTCATAATAAAGGCCCCCAACAACCTTTTTTGGCACTTTTAATTTTATATGTTGGTTTATAGTGCAACCTCTTTTTCTTTGGACAAGAATGGAGAACTAGTGAAACTTGCTCCTTTTTTACTGTCCAAATATAACGAAAAAGAGGCTCTTCATGTCACAGATAGAGCCATGTTTGATCAATGAAGGTCAGAGGACTGTGAAGAATGCTGGCGTTGCTAGGCAATGCCCACCCAGTGCTCACTGCATCCTCACATGAACATAACAATCTTGCATGATTCTAGTCTGCCTCAGGCCTGTTATGAGGACGTACAATCTACCACCCACACTCTACAACTAGAGAACGTTTAAGGACAGATATATGCACACTTATTAGCACACTCAACACAAGCTATTTCAGCAGCACAATCTATGATAACCCTTTTATCCAGTTATGACTGGGTTCCTGGATTGAGAAACAGTTTGTTACACCAAGGGTTAGTTAGGAGTCTGGCATCATAATTTTGTGTGCAAAAGTATGCAAAACTGTGCAAAAGTCAGAGACCACTTTTTATTTATTCAATTTCATCAAAACATCCAGTACATTATTCATTTTTCCAGGGAGATTTCTGAAGAGATTAGATATAACATAATCCACTTACATAAGGCACAGTCAAAGGAAAATAACTGAAAAAAACAGGAGTTTCCAAAAAAGGAGTTAAAAATTATCAAAAGATACAGAAAAATAGGATTCCTAATGACCATGCAAGACCTGGTAGACCACCAAAACTGTCAGCATTACATAAACAGTACTTAAAGCTTTCATCTTTGAGAGAGAGGAGAAAATCAAGTTCATTTCTTGCTGCAGATCTGAAAAAATCTACAAAAACCCAACTGTAAAAAGACAATTCAGCACTGTAAGTCCGAAAGGATGTGTAGCTACCAAGAAGCCCTTACTGAGAAAAGAAAATAGACAAAGAATGTATAAATCAAACAAAGAAGCTGCTGGTCTGCTCAGAACAATGGACTGACCACAACATCATTGAATGTGAGTTTACTTGGATCATGAAAAGCAGAAAATGTAACCAACTTCTAAGACTGAAGTATGGGGGTGTGGAAACATAATCCTTTCTTTGAAAAACTGTTTCTTTTAAATATATGTTTTGTGCAAACGTAATGATGTATGCATTTCAGTAAAAAGAAATATCAGCCCAACTCCACCCCCAATTCCAAAAAAAGTTGGTATGCTGTGTAAAATGTAAGTAAATGTTAATAAAAACAGAATGCAATGATTTGCAAATCTCATAGACCCATATTTTATTCACAGTAGAACCTAGAACACATATTAGATGTTGAAAGTGAGACATTTTACCATTTCATGAAAAAACATTAACTCATTTAGAACTTGATGGCAGAAACATGGCATCTCAAAAAAGCTGGGACAGGGCAACAAAAGGCTAGAAAAGTAAGTGGTACAAATAAAAAAACAGCTGGAGAAGCAATTTGCAACTAACTCACATGACTGGGTATAAAAAGAGCATTTTAGAGAAGCAGAGATGGGCAGAGGTTCACCAATCTGTGAGTTTCAGAAAAATGTTCCTCAATGTAAAATTGTGAAGCCTTTGGATATCCCACCATCTCCAGTATATAATATCATCAAAAGATTCAGAGAATCTGGAGAAATCCCTATACGCAAGGGACAAGGCTGACGGTCACTACTGGATGCTCATGATCTTCGGGCCCTCAGGCGGCACTGCACTGAAAACATGATTCTGTACTGGAAATATGTCACGAATCCCGTAGGCTCTGAACTTTTCTTTGGACTCTTCCCAGAATCCCCTGGGAGATCATGTGATGCCAGCCTCACTTTTGCGCTCCAACCAGCGCTCCAGTTCCCCAGAGTACTGATTGTTTTCACCTGTCTCTCTCTGATTAGTTTAGCTTATAGCCCGGGCTTGTAGTTAGTCTCATTGTGAGGTATTGCTTTTTTCTGATTGTCTGTTCATATTCTGACCTTTTTGCTGTGTGTTTTGACCTGCCTTTTGCCTGACCCCTTTTGGATACTTTTGCCTGGTTATGTTTGTATTTTTGTATATTTTGTCTTTTCTGGATCTGACCATTGCCTGTGACCTGACTACGATTGTGAATTCTGTTTTCACCAGTAAAGCTTCTCATTCTCTTTTTATCTGCAAGCGTCTGCGTCATTCTGTCGCGTTACAAAATCACTGCACGGGCTCAGGAACACTTCTAGGAATCACTGCCTGTGATTCAGAAACGCCGCTGTCTTCTCTGGGCCAAAGCTCATTTAAAATGGATTGAGGCAAAATGGAAAACTGTTCTGTGCTCAGATTAATCAAAATTTCAAATTCATTTTGGAAACCACGGACACCGTGTCCTGCAGACTCAAGAGGAGATCCAGCTTGTTATCAGTGCACAGTTCAAAAGCCTGCATCTCTGATGGTATGGGGTTGCCTATGGCATGGGCAGATTACACATCTGGAAAGGCACTATCAAGGCTGAATTGTATACAGAATTTTTAGAACAACATATGCTCCCATCCAGTCTTTTTCAGGGAAGACCTTGCATTTTTCAGCAAGACAATGCTAAACCACATACTGCATACAACACAACAGCATGGTTTTGCAGAAGAAGAGTCCAGGTGCTGAACTGGCCAGCCTACGGTCCACAACTTTCACCAACAAAAAACATTTGGTGCATCATGAAGCGAAAAATCTGGCAAAGAAGACCCAGGACTGTTAAGCAGCTAGAATCCTACATCAGACAAGAATGGGACAACTGTTAAAAGAAGAGAGGATGCTACACAATGATAGACATGGCCCTGTCCCAACTTTTTTGACATGTGTTGCTGCCATCGAGTTCTAAATGAGTTGATATTTGTCATGAAATGGTAAACTTCTAACTTTCAACATCTAATATGTGTTCTATGTTCTCTTGTGAATAAAATATGGGTCTATGAGATTTGCAAATCACTGCATTCTGTTTTTATTAACATTTATTTACATTTTACACAGCATCCTGACTTTTTTGGAATTGGGTTGTATTATGAAAGTGCTATGCAAGATACATAGTTACAAGAGTGAGTAGTGGACATCTGGACCTGCCCATGCGTCTTTGGAGTTGTTAAAACTGTAATCATTTGAAAATGATGACCTATATTTCATTTTGAATCTCTTCTTTGCTGTTGTAGTGCCTTTCTGATGAAGGCTGAGCAGAACAATTTTCTTTATATATCTGTTCAGTAAGACATATCAATGCGACTTTGTTCAACACCAAGTAAAAACTGTCACACCAACATAAAATCAGTCCAGTGTATGCAGACCATAAGACATTTGGCAAATTCTAATCTCCATGCTCTGCTGTCAGTACGCAAGTTATTATTTATAAAGCTCCCCAGAAAAGATCTATTTAGAAATGCAACCTGTCAGCAGAGAACAAGAAGAGCATTCTGGCCTACATCCAGTAACCCTTAAGTCATTTCCATTGCAGCAGTAAAGGTTCAGTGGAAGATATGAATTTTAGTATTCACCACACAGACAGTGTGCATTGTAAATACAGAGTCAGCATAACTGGATAACTGCAAAGTATTAATGGTGAAAATGCCAATAAGAAACAGAGCAAATGCTACTGTTGTTAATTGGCATGTGTGAGACTGAAGACTAAAATACTGAAACTGATTACGTCCACTCCAGCTTTTACATGTATTAAAACACTTCTAGCATGGCTGGAGTGAATTTTACATCATGGTCCAAGAGAATGAAGCTAGTTATGTTTACACTGGGAGCGAAGGACAGAGTAGCCTTTCAGACATCTGCACTGCCCTTCTCTGAGCACAACGAAGCACTCAGCAGAACATGGCCAATTGTCTTGTAGGTTTAGTGTGCATCATGGCAGGTGTGTGCAGTCTTACCACACTCCTAAACACAAAGCCTTCTAAAAGATTCTTGGTTTGGATGCACGGTTTCAAGAACACTGCAAAAAATTACATCTTGGGAAGCGAAAATGATTTAAATCTAGTCAATATCTATTATGTTTCTTATTCAGTGATTGTTGTAAGAATAAAATTAAGATTTATGAACTTGTTTTGAGACATTTTTACTTGCTTTAAGATTGTATATATGGAAATGGTCTTATTCTATTAGACAATTTGTTTGTTTCCAGAAATAAGCTTTATTTCTGGAAACAAACAAAATTTTTTGCCTATACAATTAGACACTTTCATTAGATAAAATTACTTAAACAAGTAATACACATTTAGAAATATAACTGGGTTCCAAGAGTTTGAGACTACATTTAAAATCTTGCAAAATTGTTTGCATTTAAACTTGAAAAAAAGGAGTAAAATGAGGAAGAAATACAGAAGATTCTGCACTATTTCTATGTTACTATTCAAATGTAATCATATTTGTGACCATGTGAAAAAGGCAGATTTTTTTAGTCATATCTCTTCCACTGAAGCTTGTCTTCAGATGAATCCCAGGTGGGTTTGATCCACCATTTTGCACACTGTTAATAAAGCAATAATCTTATAGTTTACTTAAAACAATCTCAAAAATTTTATATATTAGATTCAAGATGTTTTCATGTGTCACAATATTATATTTTGCAGTTGAAAAATCTTTAATTGTTATAGAACTTTTACATTATAGTGGATGTTCTTTAAACTTTAAATGGTCCTACATTTTATTTGCATTTTGTTTTTTCCAGTCTCTCTTTATCCCTTAGAATTAATCAAGCTCTTTCTGTTATTGTGCCTTTAAGACTGATATAACATAAATAAGCTTTTCTGATTGGCTGTCCTGTACCGTGCCTTATTAAAAAAGCACTCAGAGCTGAAAGACACTGTAGAACTTCAATATGAATGGTAAACTGTTGAATAGGCGAAGGGATCTAAATGAGCTGGTTCTCTTAACACTCTCTTAATCACCCAAACAATGATTTCAAACCAGGCTGTTTTTGCAGCTTGAATTGTAAATACATGGACTGTATGAGCTGAAGAGTAAACGATACATTTTTATACTTTAGCTGTATTTACATATAATTTCAAACTCCTTTGTTAAAAAAAGGGAACAGTAATTTTTCCATGATTTGAGCCCTTTAAAAAGGGTTCTTCACACTCACACATCTCAATTTTTGATTCTTTGATGTGCAGGAGAGACATCTAGCTCACTATTACCATTGGAATAACAAGAATATTATTGCTGTGGTGTTAATTATTATTGAAAAGAACAGTGAATGGAAAATAAATTCCACCTAGCCAGTATTGATATTATGCGATAAAGTGACTAATCTTCGCTGTGACACTTTTAAATTGTAAAGACATCTTATCTGTGCCTCAGCTTGTAACTGGTTTTCACCTGGCAATGATTTTCTCCAAAGGCAAAAAAAGATCCTGCTAATCTAACACATTACATTCAAATTGACAGTTGTAGTGGAGACTGCTCTAGTTTATCTCAAAGGGTTGCTAGGCAATAGGCCTCGATGAAATTCTCACTCTCCATGCCTCATATGAACCTCTGCTTTCTCTCATCCATCTGTTTGCACTTTGATTGACAGTTCCTCGAAAAACAGAGCAAATGTACTGCATGGAGGGGAGACTTACGGCTACAACTGAACATATTTACATTAAAATACAAAGGCAGTACAAAAGGCACGATTCTGTATTTTACAACAATGCCTACAATGGCACAGGCACACATGTCCAGGGATGGAACCCTACCTAGTGAAGATAACGCATAGTGACACTGCATATGCCTTAAAGAATTATATTCCTGGCTGGCACTGTCCTTGTCCTATAGCTGTTTCCTTTGTATGGGTTGAACTTTCCAACTTTGCCAGCAGCAGCTGTGAGGCACAAGAGCTCAAAAAGATTCATTCAAACAAATAAGGTACTCAAGATACATAGGCTTTGTCAGGCGCAAAGCTAAAACTGTCCTTAGGAGTGACTCATGCATCTAAGACTAGTGGTTATCAGTACTGGTAACGACCTGACTGTGAGAGTTTTATTACATAATTTATGCACATTTATCGTGAGGAATAGATTTTAGCTTGAAGCGTTCTCTTTCTATAGAATAACACAGGGTTTCTCACAGATATTACATGACGTAGTTGACCTAGACTTAAAAGTCTTCTCTTAAAAATAAAGGTGTCAGAAAGGATCCTTCCAGCGACGCTATAAAAGAAGCCCTTTGGTTTCTTAATTAACATTTTGATGGGGAATTCAATTAATTTACAATTCAGTCATTGAGATTAAGCAACCAAAGTCATTCCAAGCGGTTTTATGTCAAATGGTGTGTTGTAGAGAAACTTAGTGATTGATTTTCTTTACAGTGGTGTTGAGGTTGCAATGTCTACAATACAGATAGTCATTTTATTTAATATCCAAAATGACCAGTGAACCTACATGTGTCTTCTGAGGTTTTATACATAATGTTGTAAAATATCAATAAATCTTGGTACTAATTTATATTACAATGCCTTACATGTATGTACCTCTCCATCCTCCATGTTTAGGTCTCATCTCAAAATTATTGGGAAACACTGTCTTGAACATCAGGCAACGCATTCCTAATAATTTCACGTAATAACATTCCCTGAGGTAATTACAGGCTATGGACGTCTGGTTCCTATCACTACCACTGAGAAAAACTCAGTAAGTTTCTCTTCCTCTGTTATCCTCAAATTTACAAATATCATTTATCCTTGGGGTTAATTTGACCCCAGCAATTTAAACCTCCAGGAAACATCAAAGTTTTGGTAGGAATGTTTCCCCTTCCCCCATGTTATGTGAACTATCAGTGGTTCTTGCACTACAGTTATGTTGCAGGTATTGTTATGTTAGGTTAGGGCCCTGTCATAGTGACCTCAATATCATCCAAAACAATCAAGACAAATCTGTGTACAGTGTTAACATTTCTTATATTTTTTGCAGCTAAAACAGTCTGAGGTCAAACTGACCCCTAAAAACTGATGCATGCAAAATGTGTGCAGAACATTGAAAACATATCATCAAGTTAACTTTATGTTTACTCAACTGTCCCCATTAAATTAGGAAAAAATCATTAAATATTAAGCAAAAAAATAAAAAAAAAAGATGTCAATCATTTATTCAGAGATGTTAATCACTGAATGGGGTCAAAATGACCCTGGAGATAACAGGAGGGTTAGAACTAAGCATTTCACATCAAACCACTCTGAATGAGCATTTTTATGTATTCATTTTAATGATTGAGTCATTAAGGGAAAAAAAGAAGTAAAAAAGTAATTTAGGGGAAAAAAATGGTGTGATTCTCTCTTGATGTTGGATGTTAGTTGATGTAAAGTTGAACGAACCACCACACAAAGAAAAAGTTCTTTATCAATGACAAGTTTCTCCTAGAACGTCCAAACCATGAACCACTGAGGAACCTTTGGTTTTAAATGCAGAACTGGGACATGACTATGCTGAGGATGCGCTCCACTGCATTGACGGGCTAAGGTCTCACACATCCAACACACACCATGCTCGGTTTTCCTGACCTCTTGGCATAACCAGCAGATGCGCACATTTGTTTGGAAACATGAACACGTGGTCCATTCGTGGAAGACGCGCGCAGCATCCTCAAGGTCAAACAAGTGGGTCACGTTTACACCCTAAAACTGACGCGTCACAGCCCTCGCGAGCAAGAGATCACCTACCGATCAGGATAATTCACCTGTGAATTCACCCGCACACATTTTCTATCGACGTGCATATGAAAAGGACAAAACAAACTGCATGGGCGGAATCCAGAATGAGGTGAGAAACAGCAATGACATCCACTCGACCCTCTGCCTCAGGAGCCAAAATAAACCCTCAGCTAAGGAAATCACAACAGCCTGCCTCACCATCAGCCTGTGCGCAATTCTAGCTTAAAGTTAAAAGTCACTGTTCACGTTCAGCACATTACAGTCCCGTTTGTGCAGTTATTCGAAGAGCAGGTGAGCAGCCAGCTCAACCCACCCTGCCTTCTCACTAACCAGTCTGTGCGCAGCTCCAGCTGAGAGCTGAAAGTCATCCGTCCCAGGTATAAAGCACTAACCTACATCACCCATTCATGCAATAAATGCACAGGTCACGTGAGAAAAATCACTTGAAATCTCTCACCTTACTGGATGTCAGTGTGTGATAATCATTAGATTAGGTCAGTCGTGTCTGTGAGGGAGAGCAGCCTCCGGGTTCAGAGCGTCTTCTCCGTGTAGAAAGATGTCTTCTTTCTCTCTGTGAGGCGCTGGATGTTTCCTCTGCTCGGTCAGTGCTGAAACTGTCACACAGTGCGCAGCGCGAGCTTCACTGCCTCCTGACGCAAAGCCCCCGCGGGAGCCGATAGCGCCTCGTTAGCCACCCCCAAAATAGCAACTTTGAGCACCGAGCCGGTGGTCATATGCAGCGGGAGGGTCGTGCGGCCAGCTTCTCGGTTCGCCCTCCAGCGGTTAAAAACAAAAAAAAAGTGTAACGCAACTACTTCTTTCTGATGGCGATTGGTGGAGAGCGAATTAGCAAATTAGCCTACTATAGGTGCGCGTGAGTCACCCACGCGCTCCTACGTCAGCATCCGCGTAACCTGGGCAACGCGGGAAATTTCTGATGAAATACCTATTCAGGTTACACAGACATGCTAAGCTAACGTTTACTTATACTGTGTCTTTTTATGTAACTAACTGCTTTTATGAAACTCTGGCTGTAACTTGAACAGTTTGGTCGCTTAACACTGTTTTGTGTTTTATGAGATTTTTTGTCAGTAAGATAATGTAGTGACAGTAAGGCTCCCAACACCGGAGTGTGGTCTGCAAAGGAGTCAGACTGTGTCTGACTCATTTTTCTTCTTGACAAGTCTAGTGAATTTATTCTGCCCTTGACTTTATTCAGTACATATTCGCTGTTCGTGGATATCAAGCACAACTCATTAATGCTGGCCAGAAAATGGTGCTTGCTGTGATGATGTCTGTTTTACTCCCCTTCCAGGAAGATATCCCAGATAGCAGACAGTTTTGGGCCATTTCCGGCTTTCCTATGTGAGGGTTGGTTTACTACTGGGCAGATGTTAGATGTGCAAGCCAGGAGGGCCAGATGCCAATGCCAGGGCCAGATTTTTTCATACAGTTTTGCCTTGTGTCTAAATTTGTAGGCCAATTCCGGCGTGAATGTTGTGGACCAGTACTGTGTTGCACCACATTTGGGCCACATCCATTGGTTCTACTCACTTTACAGTGTGTGGGCCTGATCTGGGCCGAGGACCCGGCTGTATACTTGGCCAGAACAAACCCGAGGATGTGGCCCAGAAGTGGGCCAGGCAAATTGTGCTAACTGGGATTACTGCTCTACTAGATATGTGAGGAAGTAAATTCAGATGAACTTTTCTATTTACCTGTCATACATGAAAACAAGTCAAAGTGAGAAGGCATGACAGAAAGCATGTTTTAAGTTTACACTGAATACAGTGTTTTAATGGAAATTTGCATGTGGGTGAATCATGGGAAAAATGCCATCTGCATAACACAATTATGAGATTGGAGTTCAAACAGTAATAGATTAAATACATCAGCGAAGAGAACAACAAACAGAGGATTTGACTCCTGTGGAGATGTGATTGAAAGGCATCTCTGTTTGAGTGAGTGTGTGACTTTAGGTGCCGCACCCCCTGGGTTGGGAGATCAGTGCTTAGCCACAGCTGTTCAGCCCTCGTTGCTGCTTCCTGGAACAATAAACAGGTAGCTCTAGTTATCCAGGTGTGAGTGTGGAAGGGGGACAGAGAGAAATAGAGAGAGAGAGAGAGAGAGACTCCCCCTTTCTCTCTCTCTCTCTCTCTCTTATGTTTGTAAATGAGGTCATTAACCTAAATAACAACTACACTGAATTATATATAGTTCTGCCTTAGATCTACAGTAAATTCAAGCATTTTAATTTCCCTCACTGCAAGCAGATATGATCAACACATCATGATGTCATAACAGAGTAGAATGACTTTATTGTCAGCAAGCAAATTCTGTAATCAGTAAATATAAAAATTGCATCATTGCATTTATAACATTATAGAAGACAAAACATTATTCATTTTTACTTATGTGCATGTAACAAGACCATTTCTATTGGTACATTTGTCATGACGTTTACATATTTACAATGTAAAGGGCAGCTGGTGTTTTCTAATGGTGTAAAAATGAGTTAAGAGAGCAATGATATAGAAGATATACATTTCAGAATAGACCTGGAAAATCATGTCAACATTCTGTAGTGAGTTTCATGCCCATTTTAGGAAATTCTGGCTCTCAGCAGATTTCTCTATAGGAAAAATGAATGGCATTTTCAAAAATCACCATTGTGCCCTAAGGTTAAACTAAAATATTACGAACCCAATACATTTTTCGGTACGTACATTTCAAGGTGGGCAATATGATGATATTGTTATTTTGTTATTGTGATATTTTATTGTGTCATTTTGTTACTGACATTTTAAGACTTGTGCATATTGTGGATATTGTCAGTACTTAAATAACACTGACCATCTGCATGCCTCATTAAAGAGAGAGCATACTTATTCATGTTTAATTCGATTTAGTGCAGTCAGATCATTATAAAGGAGGAGACGACAGTTCATAACACATGGCGTATTGCCCTTCAATCAGAAGAGCCAATCGGCTAGGTGATGAAGATGCAAGCAGGGAAAGTGCCTCGCTCATTGTGGAGGTATGTGCAGTAGCCAGAACAAGCTGAAAAGTTTGCAAAGTTTGAGTGGAATGCTACACTATTTAGGTGATTTTTTGTCAGATTCTACCATTGATTTCAAATATGTCTTTGAAACATTAAGATGGCTTTTAGTTTCAGATTTAGAGGTCTCTCTCTGTTCATAGAGATAGGATTCTGCTCATGTATGGGTGGAAATAACTGCTCGAGTGCTTTTTCTTGAGTTTTTAATGGCTGTTTTTAAATGTGGCACTACAAGTGAATTGTGTCTGCCTGTCAAAATATTGTGTAGCGTGAATATGACAATATTCATCATATTATATTTTTGCCTTGTTGCCCACCGTGCATGCATTTTCCCCCCAAATGTTGATGGATCCTCTGAAATACGAGGTTGTTAAAGAGTCAAAATGATTGCTACATGCAAGCTAACACTGCTGCACACTGAACTGACATTGTAAGACAAGCTACATCACCAAAATACCTCACACAAACCAGCAAACTTTGTCAGGTATGGTAGTTAAGTTGCTTTGACAATTTTAGGCTACAGTTTGAGTAGCCGGTGTAGTGTTAAAATAGACTTACTTCCATGCAACATCATTTCAATGTGCAGGAGAGTTAGCTTGTTTGTACCATGTATGTAGCATTATTTGGACTAATTGCTTAAGGATCCAGCAATATTCAGGGAGAAAATGCACACAGAACAAAACGTATTTGGCAGATCATTTTTGTTTACCACATTGGTACAACAGTGGCGATTTTCGAAAAAGCTATTATTTTTCCCCATAGAGAAAAACTACTTAGACCTACAGTTCCTAAAATGGAAATAAGCCAACAGAGATGTTATATCCATTTAAACATAGGGACCTATTTGTAATATCTGTACATTGGAGTTATTGAAATTTAGCACACAAACATCAACTGAAACTGAAAGATTTAGGTTGGAGGCACGGAGCCATCCCTCGTGCTAAAGCATGTAGCCTTGGGTTGAGTGGAGCACCCTGAGCCTGCAGCATGTGCGCGTGTAGCTCTCGCACGCAGAAAGCTCCTCGCCGCTCTCATGTGACTCACCTCGCCAGGGCCCACTGCTGGGATCTGTTGCTATGGCAACAGCAGATCATATGATTCTTACTCATTCTCAGTGTAAGTGCCCCACTCCCCCAACACCAAGTCCTCCCACCATCCTGAGCTTGAATGGGCCACAGAGGCACGTACAGCACGATGACACCGGATATTAATGCAATAACACAGCCGCTGGCCTGCTCTCAGCATCCAGGATCAAATATCTGAATGCTGAGTTGCATCTCATAATTGACAGTAGTTTTATTTCATGTGCAAGGCAAAATATCTCTTGATTCCAATCTGGTAGAATCACATTTCATATCCTTTTTCACAACAGCAAAGCATGTAACAGTACCACAGCATGATATGCTACAATAAATTACTGCTATGTCTCGTTTCTCCCTCATGCAGTAAAGCAGCAATGAAGGGTCTCCCTTTAATTATTGAAAAATCCTCTGCATCACTCTGACCTTGAGCGTGATGTTGCTCAGTTGATGTGCGCCACTTCCACTCATATCACTGCACAATCCGTTACATCAGATCTGCTCTCTGATAGAACCACGATTGCCTGTCGCCTGATATGCAGCAAAATCTGAAAAACAATCATATGAATTTGAACATCACAGTTTGTCTAAAGTATTTCAGTTGGGATTGTTTGGGAACATTGGAAATTATTCTTTGGAGATTAAAGGGCCTAGACCATGGAAAGCTGAATTTCCATTGTTTTTTTTTTTTTTAAATAAAAGAGCCTGAGATGCTACGTAAACATTTTCAAAATTCACTCTCATATTCATACATAGTTAACAAAGCTACAAAAACAATCTGTATTGAATCCATTATTTTATGATGCCACAAAAAACAATGTTTTCGAATATACCCAACTATAGCAGTTTAGCCTTGCGCATTCATGGAGAGGTTATAAGGAGTGTTTTAGGGCAGCCAATCAAAACAGACCTCATTCACATATTTCAGTCTTATAGGCATAGCAACCAAAAGCAGAAAAAAAGGAAAATATGGGGGTCTATCAAAATACTTCCACTAATAAAGTCTTCAAAAGACTTTGTCACTCAAGCTTCAAATTGGCAGTGCCTAGAGGCTGCACATCATACCTCTGCATAGATAAAGACATCATGCACTGTGTTTAAGGTTTGCAGGCACTGGCTGCTGGAGCCTGACAGGTTGTATATTTATTACTGAGGTAATGGAGCATGGAACAAGGTCTGAATTTACAGCATGGCTGAAACAGGCTATTAGGTCTGAATTTATGGGCGTTTATATATAGAGTTAATGCCTAATAGATATTAAACAGCAAAAACTGTTATCAACTGTGCTGCCAGGGATGTCACCCTTTTCGCAAAGATGCCAGTGACACATACATTCTATGTTGTCGTTGGGAGTTTAAGCACATTATAGTTTATTACTTTTGAATGTAAGAGATTATGTTAAGCTTTAAAAACCTGAGCCTTTGTTACACTGAACTTGAATGGACTGACATTTGGTAGTGAATTT